ATGTTTCAATGAATCATTCCCAATTAATAAAAATAACCCTTCTAAGTTTGAAACGATATTTCCATAAATATTTTTTTCTGCGACAGCAACGCGAACACTACCTAAAGAATTCTGAAGAGACGGAAACTGGTAAAAATCTGAGGGTGCAAGGTCAGGACTATATAGTGGATGCATTAACACTTCCCAACCACTCTCTCAATTTTTGCCGAGTAGCCAAAGATGTGTGTGGTCTGGCGTTATCATGATGAAAGATCACTCCTTTTCTGTTGTGGTTTTTTCTCAATGTCTTGCTTGAGTCTCATTAGTTGTTGGCATTAGAAATCCTAGTTGATGGTATTGCCCGGTGGCAAAAGCTCATAATAAAAGATGGCGTTATAATTAATTATTGCGTGTTAATTCGTATTTCGCTACAGTCTGTGGAGCTTGACTACCCTTTAGTCATGATATTTTTCGCACGTTCTTGTCGTAGGTGATCCACTTTTCATCACCAGTGATCAATCTTTTCAAAAATGGCTCGATTTAATTACGTTGCAATAGAGAATTGCAAATGAGTACACGATTCATTAGATTTTTTTCCGTGAGCTCGTGTCGTGACTTTTTCAAATAGGTCAAAGCTGTTTTTTGGGTCAATCCACAATTTCTCGGCTATCTCGTAACTACTAATATGTAGATCTTGCTCCACCTTTCCAAAAATGACATCGACTTTATCCGTATGGGGGCGACCAGAGCGAGCTGCATCTTTGCCATCAAAATTCTCGGACTGAAAACACTTGAACCAACTTTGTGCTACTCTTACTGACACTGCATTAGGTCCATAAACTTCACAAATGTCTTTCACGGATTGAGTCGTATTTTCCCGTTTTTGTAAAAGAAACTTCAGAATGTATCAAATTACTTCCTTAGATTTAGTAATTTTGGCGGATAGAAAACGAATTGAAAATGGCGGGAAAGTGTTTTTCACTTTTTATTTTCTTTTTCTTAATGTCCTATATGTATTGATAAAACCAGCCAGATACAAGCAGTACAAGCAGACTTTTTTCTTCAATTTTATAAAAACAAAACACGAAGAAACTTTTTCCCCGACATTAATATGTACACCGAGGCGTAAATAGTAAATATCTAGACGGGTGGTGGTATCGCCTGACATCAAAGGCGTTACATAACTATTAGTTCTTTAAATTGTGTCTACATTAGTTTTATTATATTATCACCCTATTTCCCAAAAGCCATACATTAGCACTACACGTTTATGATGAGGTATAATCCATTATTGTAAGTACAAAGAGAAGAAAGTGATCAGTCAGCTAGGTATAAGGTTTTAATTTTTACAAGCTGGGATTTCCACTCTTTAAATACAAATCTAGACATAGATACCTATCTAACATTTGAGATTTAAAATAAAGAAAAAATAAGCAATCACTAGATGTATGGTCAGCAAAACTAGAATATTTTTATAATATATTCTTTTACCAGAGAATCAACTCTTCCCATGGAAGTATTTTATTAAAAGAGTCTAAAATCAGTAAACCACGTGTGAGTCACAAATAGGAAGGCTATAATAAATGAACAAGGCTCGAAAACTTCGAATATTTTTACAAATAAAAGACGTAGTAGAGCAAGGCTTTCATAGAATGGAAACAATCCCTTTTTCTTCTATTTAGGAAATAGTCTTTATTGTTATATATTTTTTAATAATAATACAACTTTTTAGACAGGTGAATTCATTTATCATCGCTTTTCTGCTTCCTTTCACTTACATGAGCATTCAAAATCCCACCATTGGTTACTGACGTTCTTTGAACAATATAGCTCCCAATCAACCCTTATAGTATTTATATTTTATATAAGGGGGAAAAACAACAATTCTGGAAAAGATACTGCTATTAAAAATTTTACTAGATTAAGAAGTTAACAGTACTTGCCAAAACATACCGAATTCTAGTTAGTTGAACATAAAGTAACACACTTAAAGGCGATAGCAAACTTAAAATTTTATGTTGAGAAACCGTTATTTAAAAATAGCCTAATTGAATTAATTAAACACAAATATGAACATTGAACATATCACAAAACATATTGCATGTGTGAACGGTGCATTGTGATCATAAAATGCCGAATAAAAGAGGGTGAAAATACTGTACAGTAAAATAAAAACACAAAAACGGGAACAGAGCTAAGAAGGTACAAAAAGAACACAAGCTCTATTGCATTGGTGATGAGCAAAATCGGTCGTGGTATTGCAGTCTTGATCTTCGTCTTGCGGTTTTGGCCAGGACCAAGGCCAAGATCATAGACACACTAGCTAGAAGACCAAGACCAAGACTGAATGAACAATAACAGGACCGAAACTAAGACCGAGAATGCAAGACCAAGACCAAAGTGCAAGACTACTAAAAATGAAAACTTCCATTATAATTTTTTGTTTAGTTGTAAAGAATAATAAAATAAATATTACATTATATTGATATAATTATATATGATTATTAAAATTAATACGATAAAATTTTTTGATTATTGTAAAATAAAGTTTAATTAATTTATACAAATAAATAAAATTGAAGTGTCTGTTTGTAATGTCAAAATAACAGCTCTAACTAACAGTAAGATTAGAAATAGAAGAATTAGAAATATTTTTTCAAATTCCTTAACACATTTTAAAAATTTTGCAGCTAAAGTAATAACAGAATAATTTGATTATTATGTACGATAGGTAATTTTAATTTAAAATATTTGTGAGCGTTATTTTTATTTTTATTTACAATTTTAATTTTGACTTATAATATGAATTTTTATTTTAATGACTTGTTTAAATTTAAATTTTAATTGATGTTTTTATTTTTATTAGTTTTAAATGATATATTGTTTTTGACATAGTTAAGTGTAATGCAATGATAAAATTTTATTATTGATGTTGTTAATATTGCTAATAAGTTAATTAATTGTATAATAACTTCCTTATAAAAATGCATACATTTTAACATAAATAAATTAAATTTCTTCACAACATAAGTTAATGTACGTGACTTTCAGAGAATGTTGTTTGCGCCAATAATTGAATTTGATTGAAATATTTTTGTATGTAACAGTGTGTACTTTGTTGGTGCAATAAATAAATAAAAGTATATATGATATATATAACAAAAACAAAATTTTTAAAATTTTTATCTGTTGGTCTCTTTGTTAAGGCTAATGTCCGAAATGGCTGGACCTATTTTGACGGGACTTTCAGTAGCTGATGTAATAAGGGGTTATTTAGGCTACTTTTATTTTAGAAAAATAATTAGGGTTCCGCGCAAAAAAATTAAAACCCATGAAATCCAATCGTAATAAATTAAATGCGGGCGAAGTCGCGGGGAACAGCTAGTTATAGATATAAATTGTTGATAATTTATAATTTATACCTATAAAAGCCTCGATAAAATTTTAAAACGACGTAAGTAGTAACAGACTGAATGAGCAAGACCTAGAGCAAAACCAAAACCGAATACACAAGACCAAGGCCAAGACCAAGACAATAAGTATTTAAACAAGACCAAGACAAAGATCGGACAAGCAAGACTGAGACCAATACCAAGACTGTCTAGGTTACGTAGCATTAATAGTATTTTGCAGAACAAAAATTAAAATTAATATTTCTATATAAAGTAATTTGTCCTGCATTACCATCTTTCCTGTCATCCTAGACACAGAAGAAACCAATATTTCTTTTAGAATTGATATTTGAAAATTATGATTTTTAAAATGGGTCCCAGCTCTCAGTTGCTCAAGTATCACACTCAATCAAAATTATCACCATCCATCCATCAACTTCCTGCATATCTTACCAGGACATCACTCCATCTAGTGAGGAGCCGCCCTACACTTCGCTTACTGGTACGAGGCTGCCACTCGAGAACATTGCTTCCCCATCAGTTGTCGGTTCTTCGAGCTATATGGCTGACCCATTACTACTTCAGCTTACTAATCCGTTGGGCTATGTTGGTTACTATGGTTCTACTACAAATATTCTTATTTCTCAGAGAAACTCCGAGCATAGCCCTCTCCATAGCTCGCTGAGCGGCCAGCAGTGAAGGAAAACATCTCACATCAATATGTCATCACTGGCAACACGCACTGATTGTATAATCTTGTTTTCAAATTTTGAAGTATATCTAACGAGAAGATGTATCATAATCTCGCGAAAGCTGCCCAGCTTGAATCCGTCAATTGACCTCTCGTTCGAAGTTGGAATTACCTAGTCAGACTATTTGTCCCAAATATAGGTGTGACATGGATATTACAAATGACCTTGGTTTGTCCATGTTCATCTTAAGACCTATCGGTTAAGAGACACTACTGAGGTAAAAAGGGCTTTTTTATCATTAACATCAATGGCGGGTACATCACCTTTGATTTGCCGACTGTGGAACTCAGAATACAAGCAAAATGCTGCAGTGTTCTAGTTTATGAGTGCAAAGACTGATGGAGGCGGAGACTTTTTATGGGTAATAAGGAGTTCCATCTTGGTCTTCAAGGTTAACAAAACATTTCGATACGTAATCAATCAAAAGATAAACTTCAAGTGGACACAGTCCTACCGATGATAAGTACCATTGGTAGGACTGTGTGCTACTGTGTTACCCTTACTTCTATAAAAATAATAATATAAGCACACTAAGCAATACTTATTTCTATAAAAATAATAATATAAGCACACTAAGCAATATTTTATAACAATGAAATGAAGCACTGTATTGATAAATGAAATTTCTTTTCCTTTTATAAATCAACAATGCTTTTTTAAGCATTTAGACCACAATTTAAAAAGCTTTTATTTACATAACTTTAATAAGTTAATATAGAAATTCATATGCTTTTTATAACAATTAACTTTTAAAAAATTACACAAATCTAACTATTAACCAAAAAAGTTAGTTGCATCTATTTCTTTAGTTATCACATTTATTTTGTTTCAAAAGTTTATTAAAATTTTATTATTATAATTACCAATTAAAATGTACCTGGTGTCAACTTGCACAGAGCCTCACTTCTTGTGTCTTCAATAGGATCATTAGAGGCTAACTGATTTGAATCATATGATTTAACAGACCCACATGAAAATTCTTTATTGTACTCATTTTTACGGAGGATAACAGTCACCTGGAAACATGATACAATAATATACATTATTATCACAACAATCATTTATAAGTAACTTTGATATGCTATATATATATTCAATATTATGTTATATTTTTCAACACTTTTGACTCCTTTAAGGTCAGGAACCACTGCACAACCATGAACATGGATACCTGCAGTCCAAATAAAAAATACTAAAGATGTATGGCCACTCATGAATTTTAACACACTAAAAGTTTACACACACTAAAAGTTTTGTGTAACTCATATATAAATCAAATTATATGTAAACTAGTATATTTGCTCTTTTTCAAAGTATTCTCCATAACACTTTAAACAATTTTCTAAGTTATAAGAATATTATACGTTATTACTTGATGATTGTTCTTTATTTTTATATATTATTATCTTGTACTTATTTGTTCATTTTATTATTTACATGTTTTTACTTATTTGACCTATTTCTTAGTAGATTCAAGATTACTCAAGATAAATTTCCATTTATCTACTAATGTAACTGTGCACAATGATTCTAACTAGGTCTTGATGTCATCACAGTAGGTGTGGCTTTAGTTAGTATACTGTCAGCTTTCATCCTGCGCACTTATGTGTCGAAAATCACAAATCGGTGTATTTTCGTGGTATCAGTATTTCATGGCTTTAATAATTACATTATTCCTGTCCACATGCAAAATACGCACTAGATGTGGAGTAGCAGAAAGCAGCCTATCATAAACTAAACTAAATTTGTATATATGTGGTAAAGCCATGCTGCAGCTATATTACTGGTATAGTTGTAGCACGAATGGGTCAGCCCGACAGGGGAAGGACCACGCTCTCACAGAATACCAGTGAAAAAGAAAAAACACTGCTGTGTTTCGTATGGTGAGTGTAGAGAACCGGAGACCCCTATTACTGGAAAAGAGGCATCCCATCTTAGTCCTCATGTGTGATAATGTATCTGCATTTGGATTCTTTATTGAGGATATATGTAGATGTCTATGGGTCACAGCAACCACTTACCATCAGGTGGACTGTGTGCTCGTTTATCTCCCTAATTCTATTAAAAAAAAACTCATCCAAGTTAAATTTGACAATAGACCTCTCTGTTGAATTGGACGTACCTAGTCTGACAATTTGTACTAGTAATGTAAATGTAGTCATCAACAACTTCAAACTTAAGTGTTTCCAACAATTAGCAGCATAGGTATGTTACATGGTACATGTACATGGATGTTACATATGACCTTTGTCTTGTCCATGTTCATCTTAAGATCTATTTGTTGGGAGACACTAATAAGGTCCTTGAGCATTGTACTTTTATTCAGCTATTCTGCCATAATGACTATTTCATCAGCAAATCGAAGACTAGTTATGAACTTGATATTAATATTGATACTGGGTAATTTCCAGTCCAGTAGCTTGAAAATAGTTAAGAATAAGTAAGAGTGTGTGGAATGATAAGAAATCTATGCCATGGTATAATACTTAACATTATTTTTCTAATAACATTCCCCAATCTTGAGTACAAAATCATAGCTCACTCTCACTCACCTCTTGCGGCGATGGAAGTACTGTAATGCCATCTTTCTGTGCCTGCCCTAGTATTTGCGCTGTATTAAATAATCGAGAGCAATTACGGACATAACCAAAGAGACTTTGATGTTCAATCTTACTGCCAGTCCTTAAAGTACATAGCTGTATATGACGAAAACCACGATCTAATTTTAAACACGTGTTTAAAATCAGACTCACATTAAAATTATTCATATTTAAAAAAAATTACCGGGCATATTATGCAATCACAAATATTAAATGCCCTGTTCACTAAAAATTCACCAAAAACAAAAGAGAATAGTTGATATTACTGAATGGCTCTGCAATCTACGAAAAATAATATTTGTGATTAATGCACACCATTACATTTTCATTACATAAATTAAATTTTCATGCTAATGCAACATGTATTTTTTTTAATATTTTTTTATAGAGCTAGGTAGTTTGGCAAGTGGCACTGGCAAGTGGCAACTATCATAGTGATAAATATAGTCAATACGATTCGCCAGTTCAGGCAAGCCAAAGTATTAGACCATACAGTCTTACTTGATTTTTACTTTTTTATATGTTTGATCGTCACATTGCAAAGTTTTTCGACGTCATGTATTTGAAACGATAAAAAAGAAGCAGCATTCCCCCGGTGGTAAAGCTCCCGCCAAACTCTATTAGATTAGATAATGTTAGCCTGAGATGTACATAGAACACTATTGAGGTTCACTATAATTCATATTAGAGTTACGCGTGTGATGTGTGAATACCGAATTGATATTCTTTATTATAGTTTTTTACTATTGTGTATAACCTTTTAGTTAGATTTAATTTTATGGGTACTATGTTTTAAAAAAGTAAATAAATATATATTACTTTCATTTCATCCAGTTTCGAAGATTTCACTTCAAAAATCAATTGTTATCCGTTAGTCTCACTAAAACTCAAAACTGGCTCGACAGATTTTGATGAAATTTTTTGTGTGTTTGAGTGGGTCCCTGGATGATTTAAATTCTCAATTGGACGCGGTAGGTGGCACTGTTGTTGAGATCCAGATATAAATAGTGCGAAGCCGTGGCGGATCGCTAGTTAGTAATAAATTAATACAAATTATTCAAAATATTCAATGACTTGAAAATATTTTTTTTATAGAATAAGGGTGACAAAGTAGCACACATTTCATCCGATGGAAATTGAATGCTGTATGAATTGAATGCCTATAGACAACTACAATTATCCCCGATTAAGAACCAAAATGCAGATGCGTTGTCACCCCCGAGGACTAAGATTAAGATGGAATGCCTCATTTACAGCAAAAAGGGTCTCCGGATCTCTACACTCATTATACGGAACACAGCAGCATTAAGGTCCTATTTTACGCTGGTATTCTGTGAGCGTGGTTCCTCCCCGGTTGAGCTGACCCATTTGTGCTACAACTGTAATATAGCTGCAGCATGGCTCTACCACAGATTACTAAATAGTTTACTAAACAGATACATCACTCCCATACAAAAGCGAAAATACCTACGCTATAATAGCCTCCAAAATTTTAATAATAATAATATCTGTTGTTCGCAGCGAGACGAAAATGTACCATTAGTATACGTGGTAGAGCCATGCTGCAGCTATATTAGTAGTATAGTTGAAGCACTAATGGGACGGCTCGACCGGGGAAGGACCACGCTTTCATAGAAAACTAACGTAAAATAGCAGCTTAACGCTGCTGTGTTTCGTATGGTGAGAGTAGAGACTAGAGAATCGGAGACCCTTTTTACTGGAAAAGAGGCATTCCATCTTAGTCCTCACGGGTGACAACGCATCTGCATGTTGAGTCTTTATTGAGGATAGATGTAGATGTCTATGGGCCACAGTAACCACTTACCATCAGGTGGACTGTGTGCTCGTTTATAAAAAAAAAGTACGCAAATAAAGAGTCGAGATTGTGTTGACCGCCATGCGACTCACGTGCAAGCGCGTCATCGCAAGAATGCGCTAGGGTTGTACCTATGATGATTATTGTAATAAAACGAGTCTTGCGAAATAACCATATTTATTTTTTGTCAAACAAATATGTTTGAGTTTTATAAAATGATTTATACATTTTTTTCCTCCTCTGAATTCACGGTTATTAAATCTTATCGTTAAAAATATCCTAAATCACGTAAATAATTTTTATAAAACAGGAGCAAAGCGGAGGAAAAACAATGGTTTGTAAAATTTGTAACACGCTGCAGCCAGGCCAATTCATTGTGGCAATGTCAAAATTATTTAAGAATGCTTTTTTGACTCTGACACCCATCCACTGCACAATAATTACGTGTTACGTGGTTTCGGCATTTCGATGAGTAAGCGCGGGAAACGTGCGCGGTGCAAGCGCTCAGGCGGGCGTGCGGCAGCCCAATGTCGGTTGTTTCGTGGGCGATACGCAAAACGGTAGGCATATAACGCACCCCCCCGAACGGGTTCCCGCCTTGTCGTGGCGGGGGGGCTTAGTAGCCGTGGCTTGGTCACCCACGGTGAACAAAGAGGAACCCCTTGGCTGGCCCTTGGTGTAGGGCCGGCCCGAGGTGGCCACTCCGAGTGGGCTTGGCGAGCCCACTTCGGATGTGTGTCGGGCGGCTGCGGTGAGAGGGGAGTCCGCACCCTCTACCGCTGCAGCCGAGGTGGAGTCGCGGAGGAAGAGGAGTGTTGGTATGGCGATGCGCCACTCGCCCTATCCTCCGCGACTCTGACGGGGCCGCACCGTTAATGATGCGGTGGTGGTGGGGCTGCGGGGGGAGAGGAGAGTCGGTATTGCGAGGCGCCGCTCTCCCTACCCTCCGCAGCCGAATTCTGGTAGGCGGCGGAGCCATAGACCAGATCCGCCGCTGGGGCCAGGAAGGCCAGTTCTGCTGAGTGCTAGTTTTTCCTGGCCCCATGGCCTTCGCGCATCAGACTCGGGGGCGTCTGTTGCGCATTGGAAATTGGAGGCCGAGGAGGAGGGCGCGCCATGTGTTCTGGTACTCCTCCCCCATCTCCTGAGAAGGAGATGGGGGAGGAGTAGTCCTCTCCCGAGGAGGGGCCGCCATGGAGTGGCCAGCGCAGGTGGGGCCGCGGAAGTGTGCGAAAGCGTTCCCGTGGCCCTGCCAATATGCGACGAGGGTGGAACACCATGGGGTTTTAGTCGGTGCGAGTCCGACATAACCCGTCCTTGCCCCCGTGAGGCGGGTATGCGTAGGCATTTCCCCATGTAAAAAAAAAAAAAAGGCATATAACGCAGCGAATGACGGAGGCCTAACTCTACCACGTACAAAAAATTTATACATTGACTTACGAGTATAATGATATTTCATCATGTTTTCTTTCATTGCGCTTATTACTGTTTAATCCCAGCACTACTACTAAGTCATGACTTAGCGGTCAGCTTCCGCAGAGTCTACTTCACCTGAGGATGCCTCGTGTAGAGGCGAAATTCGTGTCGTATTTTCGAGAGTGGTGTGTCGTGCCTAGTGTGGTGGTGCAGGGGTTGGTAGTGCTGGGATTAACGACGACGGGTATAGTGCGCGCGATTGAGGGAGGGTGGGAGGTCCCCTTAAAACTGGTCAGGACACATCATTTCCTTTCTTTACACGGAATTAAGCAAATTAGTTTATAACAACCCCATTATAATGGATTTCCGCAAAGTAACGCCTGATTCTATCAATTATCTTAAAAGCCCGAGGAGTCTATTACTGAATATATCTGAGCTCTCGGGCAATTAGCATACGACTGTAATTTCAAAAACGTTACGGTGGAGCAAATTAAGAATAACTATATTCGTGATGCCTTCATATCGAGTATCGCAAGTCAAAAGATACGACAAAGGCTTTTAGAAAACATAACTTTGACATTGGAGAGAGCCCAAAATCAAGCTTCATCTTTAGAAACCGCTGAAAAAATTTCTTTAACTTATACAAAATGCAAAATAATCCTCAAATGCACTTACATGCTGTAACTAATACTTACAATTAAAAACCAGAAAGTAGCACGGATAATTATAGCATATTTTTTGACCACAAAAAACCACCAAATAAAAATCTACATCAACGCATAAAATGCTCTGCTTTTAACGCAATATGTCAATTATGTTCAAAGAAAGGGCACTTCGCTATTGTTTGCAAAAGTGGTAGACCAACTGTAAATGCTGTAGACACTGAAGTTGCGGATGTTATAAAAACCACATGTATATCTGCTGCATCTCCATCTAGTTTAAGCAAAGCGACAGTTCCTATTATGATTAATGAATTCCACGCTGAAGCTCTAACTGACACCAGAAGTTCTGTCAGTTTTACAAATAAGACATTAGCTCAAAATATGAACTTGAAGATGAGACCTCATAAGCAGGCTATATAATATATAAGTATATTATATTATATAGCCTGCTTATGAGGTCAATAGATGGCATTACATATGCAACTACAAATTAGACAAGCATACATATTCACATCAATAACCTATGTGCAGATGTTATCCTAGGACATGATTTATTGAAAAACCATAAGACACTTTTTCAAGAATTCAATTTTGGGGGTTCAAGGGATTCCTAAAAATATGAGTTATGGACGCATCAGTACCTCCTATATCGTTGCTAACGAACCTTTTTTCAAACATAAAGCCAATTGCAATAAAGTCAAGGCGTTATACGAAAATTGATGAACATTTTGTTAGAGGAGAAGTTTCTAAATTGCTAAAAAATGGAGAGATTGAACCAAGTAACTCCCATTGACGAGCGCAAGTACTAGTAACATGAGGCACTACACATCGAAAACGTCTTGTCATTGATTATTCCTTAACAATTAACAGATTAATTGAACTCGATGCGTATCCACTACACAACATTGAATTTATGGTTTTCAACGTTGCAAAATACGAGTACAACAATTTCAGTCAAATTAATTTAAAAAGCGCTTATCACCCAGTGCCGATTTTAAAGACTGAACGAAAATATACAGCATTTGAAGCATGCGGAGCCCTTTATCAATTTACTCGTATACCATTTGAAGTCACTAATAGCGTGGCTGCGTTTCAGAGAACTACAGTTCATAATTGAGGCTGAAAACCTAAAAGATACCTTCTGTTATTTAGATGATGTGACTGTATGTGGCAAAAATAAAGACATCCACGATAAAAACTTGCAGCAATTTATGGACGCTGTGAAGAAATACAAACTTACGTTGAATGAGAAGAAATGCACTTTTGGATCAAAAAGTATAAGTCTATTTGGTTATTCCATTGAGAACAGCGTTATCAAGCCAGACAAAGAACGATAAAAATCACTATTGGATCTCTCTACTCCAACAAATGCAGCCTCATTAATACGTATTTTTGGTATGTTAACTCACTATCCGAAGTGGATTTACAACTTTTTTGGATTGGTAATACACGATTCCTACTTAGCCAAGAAGCCATAAACTGTTTAAACATTTTAAAACTGGAAATAGTCAAAGCGTCCCTGACAGCTATTGACAATGACGAAACTTTTATAGTAGAAACCGATGCATCTGAGCACTCAATAGCTGCAACCCTTTCTCAAAATGGTCGTCCTGTAGCTTTCCTTTTAAGAACTTTGTCCAACACTGAACGCGGCCATTTATCTATAGAAAAAGAAGCAAGCACTTTTATTTTTATTTTATTTTAATAACCGATCAGCAGTCTGTTGCTTTTATGTTCTGTATCTCTTGATACACATATTCAAAAACATTCAAATAAAATAAAAAATTAAAAAATTGAACTTGAACTTAGAACTGTCTTGCTACAAATTAACTACATCCTGGTGTTACCAGAATGATACACTGGATAAGATCAAAGAATCTTCCATTTTCTGTTTAAGAAATAAGATTAATGACAGCATCTTGTAAAGTATGTGCTGAGATTAAACTACGGTTCTGTCAATCAAAAGGCCAGTTGTTCAAATTTATTGCTCCATTCGAGAGAATAAATATCGATTTTAAAGGCCCACTCCCATCGAATACTCAAAACTGACAATTATAGACGAGTACTCAAGGTGTCCGTTTGCATATCCCTGCAGTGATTTATCGGCGGCTACAGTGATACGATGTTTGAAAGATCTTCTTCACACTTTCGGATTGCCATTATACGTACATTCCGATAGAGGTACTACTTTTTTATCAGAAGAGCTCAAAAATTTTCTAACACCACTGGGCTATATAGCTACAAGCAAAACCACAGCTTACAATCCTCAGGGAAATGGCCAAGTTGAACGACAAAATGGCACATTATGGAGAGCGATACAGCTCAGTCTTCGTTCAAAGAATATAGAAATTTCAACCTGGGAAAGAGTCTTATCCAATGCGTTACACTGACGTCTCTTTTATGTATGACTACAAACGTCACACCCCACGAAAGAATGTTGAATCATCCACGTCGTTTGCCTAATGGAAAATCTTTACCTATGTGGCTTATAATCTCTGTACCTGTACTCATAAAGAAAAACATTTGAAACATCCAAATATGATCCACTTGTTGAAGAAGCAGAAGTTCTTCACGCAAATCCAACTTAGTCACATGTTCGTCTCTCTGATGGTCGAGAATGCACTGTATTCAATTGACAATTGGCGTAATAACCTATGATTCGCATTAGTGAAGAGGAAAATGAAAATGGCCAAGATAATGGAAATAATATCCGCCCTTATATGAATACAAACAATGAGGTAGTAGAACCTGTACAATCTGAACAAACTGAAAATGTTCAAAATAGCAGTACAGAGCATGATACAGAAAATAGCGGACTTCGCCGTTCCTCTCGTGTTAGACGGCCTCTCTGCGCAATTATGTTGGAGCTTCATGGATAGGTGATTGTAGTATATTTAACTATTTGTTATAATATACAACCTTATTCATAATTGCTATAAACTGCTATAAACGAAGATACCTGTCATCCTAAGATATTATTATTTGTCAATGTATTTTGTATTTATAGTAATCTTTTATGTTGACTATAACCAAAAATCCATTGATTTTGACTATCTTTATCATAAATACCTACATAAATATAACTAATACAGAGAGTCAACATCTCACAAAAAATCTTTACATAACATCTTTATATATAAAAATTACGTGTCACATTGTTTGTCCACGATGAACTCCTAAACTACTGAACTGATTTCAATGAAATTTTTCACACTGTGTGCAGTTTGGTCAAACTTGAGAGATAGGATAGTTTTTATTCCGATAAGTGACCATTAACATTTTTTATTAGGAATTTAAGGATTTTTTATATGAAGGGTCGTCGAAAAGGGCAGAACAACGTCTGCCTGGCCAGCTAGTTGACTTATATATTACTAGCGTATTTATACACAATCGCGAGAAAATGCATACAAACGAAAACTAAGTATTCTGAACAGACAATAACTGCAATTAAGCAAAAACCAATAAGAAAAATATTAAAATCTAAACGTATGAAATAATTTGAGAATTTTTTTTCAACATGAAAGAAGTTGATAAGCAAATGTCATTTTTTATTCTTTTAACTCAGTGCTCTTTCGACAGGATTCTGTTAATATTTGATCAATTAATTTTAATCAATTAATAGGTCAGTTAATTGTGCAAACCTAAGAGTGATATCATAGACTTAGAATATACTGGCGTATAGACCGACACAGTGTGCAAGGGAGAAGAATTAAAATCCAAGAAAAAGCAGGTAGGTTCAGCTTATTTCCAGGAACATGCTATATGAATATTTTTTAATTGTATTAAAACTATCATGGTAAGAAATCAGTTAATTTTTGAAGTTATTCAATTTCGTGCACTACACTATATTTTTTAATCTTTACCGCTTCCTCAGCAATTATTTTTCGATAGTCCTTGTTAGTAAAATGTACGTCACTAACTAATGCACACAATGCAAAACAAATCAAAATTAGCCACACGTTTTTGGGTTGTCAGGTCGTCTATACGCCAGTATATTCTAAGTGCGAGTGTACTTGCTAGTCGAGTTTTGTTTATTAATTAGTGCGTCACTCAGCTGATAACGTAAAACTATCTATAGTTGCGGCTTAGGTTTACGTTTATTTATAAGATCATACCTCAAGATTGTACCCAAGTGCGTGCACTTGAGCAGAGGAACGTTAATTTGTTAAGACAAGAACTGGCAAAAATTTGAAAATAGGCCAGCATAAAAGCGGACACGGAAAGAACGGAAGAACAGAAAAAAATATCAGTGACTTTTTCATACTCGTATCAGTATAAAAATTCAGCGATATTTTTTTTAAAGATACTTCCGTTTTTTTAATGTTTATATGACATAATATGAACTTACCTAATGGTAAGTGGCTACTGCAGTCCATGGACATCCGCAGCCTGTGTCGTTACATCTCGGGACTAACTACCACTACATAGTTATTTTTATATATAAGGTATATCCTTCAAACCGGAACACAGTAGTGCAAGCACTGCCATTTGGCGTCAGAAATAGTAAAATTAAGGGGGAGGGAGGGTGGAGATGGACTTTCTATTAAAACTATTTTCGTTAGATTTAAAAAAAAACTCAATGAAGATAATTATAAATTAACGTAAATATTAGGTCGGTAGCAGGTATATTAGGTAGGTGAGTAGATATAAGGTATTTATTGGTGGTTATTTAGCAATAAGTATTTCGCTTTATGTTCGTTCTTCGAGCTTCTTTTGACATGCGCTAATAATCCGACAGTCAAGGAATAATGAGGAAAGAAGTGCGAAGGTACGAATCGGTTCCATGCAGTCGCCCAATGTTCGCAACTTCGGGGGCGACTATGGACTAAATTTGGAACGGGTATTATTATTAATCTCATTTGGCAACACTGACCGCAGGCGCAATGCGCAAGTCGAATTCGTTCGTCATTCATCGTTCGCTCTGGTCGACATAGCAGAATAATAATTTTTTGTTCAGCTAATTTTTGCCAACGAAATAAGACATTTATAATAATACAAAATGCCAAACCAGGTTTTAAATATAGAGCCGCAAAATGAACTGAAATTTAAAGGTAAGAATTTACACTTTTTGTTCGTAAGACTTCAACCGCCGCATTGAATCGCAACAGCATAGGTCGTGTTAGCTGCTGACAAATGGAGTTTCTATTTCCAGAAGTCGGCATTTTGTCAGGGTGCGGTTTTCATGAATTTGCCCTATTATTGTTATATATCAAAATAATTACAACAGCGAACAATTAATATCATATTAAACCACATTTATGATAGTTGCAAATGTGCTAATCGACTATTGACGGCGCATGCATTATATTATATGTTTTACAGTTTGCAAGTAAAGGTTCCAATTTCAGTACATATACTATGTGAATGCATGTTTAGTGCTTGCTGAATGACAATTGATGTGTAACGTCACGATTTCTGCAATATTTAACTACAAAGGCACTTTAACAAATTTATTGTTCACAAAAGAAAATTGGATTCGGCCGAAATTTAGAAATGTACCTACCTACTTTCAGAAAAGTTACATATAGTATTATATAAATACGACTTACATATGTAAGTCAATTTGTTTCTTAGGCATAGTGCACAAATGTAAGATGTAACATATCTAGTCTAATATTATTTTAATGATTAAATTAAGAGTGGAAAAATTATTCTCTGTTCATTAGGTCAGTGAGACTGATAATTTCACCCATTTAATGAGATAACTAATGTTTATATTATTGTGTTCATAGTCTAAATGCCTTCTCATCTTTTTATTGCTTACACAACAATTTGGTCATGTTATACATAAAATTAATATTTTTTATCAGAATTAACACTGACAAATGATCAATATACTCAGTTAAAATTTTAAGATGTGTAGGTAGGATAACTAACATTAAAATAACTAACATTAAAATAATGTAAAACTCTTTAAGCATTGTTTACTGAAGGTTCAAAAATATTATTATTGATATAGTATTTGATAAAAGTTACATGATCTTCAATGTTTGTGATAAAGTTACATTTAATCAATATCTTATGCATATTTTAAGCTTACCTTAAGGATAAAGTTAAGAAAGATTTTAAGAGAATGCAGCAACTAAATTATTATGTGGTATCAGTAAGAGAACGAATGACAGTATTTATGTTATGGAATAATTAGGTATGAATGGAAGTTAAGCTACGAAGAAGGTATGAATGGATGTGTAGGAATGGACTTAAGTTGGTAATTCTATCTGTTTGAATGTCTAAATAACTAAAAGTGCACAATCTCCCTTTATAAAACTTGTGACTTAGTGTTGAATTAACTTCTTAACTTTGAACACTTTTGAGGTTAATATTAAGAAAACTAAAAAAAAGGTGTGATATATGTTTTGATCTTTAAGAAAACTTCTTATTCTCAATACTTAAAAGGATCTTTGTATAACATAAATAAATGAATTGGCTTTGTGGAGTACTAAATCTCTTTTAAGTAACTAAGTCTTTGAAGAAACTAAGTGTTTTATATATAATTTAAATGTTTTTGTAGCTGTCCAAAGCTTATAAGTAGATTAGCAAAAATACTTCAATCATCAGCAAAAACGCCGATTGAGAGTTTATGAATTCAATCAGATCTGTTAGGTAAATTTGAAAATTTTTGGCAGCAAGCACTGATCCCTGGGGTACCCCACTCATTACTTGTTTGGAAATTTTAGAGAGTTACACATACTTGAAATGTTCTGCCTATCAGACAGCTCTCTATTAATTTTAGTGGTGTCCCATTAGTTCCAATATGCCTGCCTTAATGAGATGCTCATGGAGTACTTTTTAAAAGGCACATTCGAAGTCTAGGTACATGACTGCCTAGTTGGTCTAGTGGTTGTAGTAGTGCAACTGCTGATCATGAGGTCCCAGGTTCGAATCCCGAGTCGGGCCAAAAAATCAGTTATTGAGTGTTTCCATCAAGAAATTCTCAGTAGCTGCCCAGAGTCAAGAAGCTGGCATTGTCTCACCCCTGTGTCTCGGAAAGCACGTAAAGCCTTTGGTTCTGCACCTGATCTCTCTCCGGTCGTGTCGGTTTGCGGTCCTATTGGACTTTGAGAGTGAAGGAATAGGGAGTGCACCTGTGCTTGCGCATACACTTGGGCACTATAATCCTGTCCTGCGCCGATGGCTAGTCTCCGTTAAGAGTGGCCGCCGTGACCCAAATTCGGTCTGGAAAATTTTTAGTTGATCTTTCCAGTTACTTACAGCGTACCTGACGGTGTAAGTGGCTATTGCAGCCTCTGGACACCTGCAACTTACTTCAAATAAAGAATGCTACAAATGCGTTATCACCTCTGAAGACTAATAATACTGGTTCTCTAAACCTTTTAGACCAGAATACAACAGTGCGTGCACTGCTATTTGGCAGTTGATAATGAATAAATATTGAATTGTAAAATGTCTGATAAAGAATGTTCCTGCTTCTGTAACCGCACATAAAAAGATAGTTCACAGAATAGCTTGGTCTTTGCTATCACTCATATGGTCCTCCTCTAAAAATTCTTGGTTCTTCCTTGCGCTTCCTCTTCAGCTTTAATAACACGAACACTATTTTGTGCTGCATGCAAGTAGTGCGGGATGCATGTTTTAGTAGTCCCTGATTAAACACGCATTGTAGTTTTTTTACCAACCAATGGTGAAAAATTGATTAAGTTGTTTTTGTAATTGATTAATTCGTCTTGAGCTGTTAATTGGTGACACAAATATTTTCCATTTTTAAAGGGCAAGCATTAACTTACTTTTGTTCTATAATTAGAAAGATTTCACATTCAAGACTAAAGCTGTTTCTTGGAAATAAATTATCTCTCCTCAATTTTATTTGAAATGAATAGCACTTATTACACTTTTCAAATTTAACAAAAGTTTCTAAGTAACAGACAAGTTTTGACAGGCTAGCTTGGTTTATAAGTTAGTATGGATTATGCCAATCAAAAAAGTTGCCTTTCACATTCAATAAACATTTAACAACTATGCTATACATAGAAATTATTTCAAAAGAAAATGTTAAATAGACTGTGAATAAATTTAGTTGTTTTTGGGATCATATATCCTAGTGGCCCGCCCTGGTTTTGCGTGGGTAAAATTTATAATGTAGCTTTTATTAATATATTAAAAAAGTTTTATCAATTTTTTGTTTATTAAAAAATATCTAAATTTTTGGTAAAAATATAGCCTAGACCCCTCCTGTTATGCTTTTTGTCTGTTTGTAAAGTTTCATCAGTCATTCTGAAGATTAGCCTGGACAGACAGACCAAAATTTAAAAAATGATTATTTATTTTAACAGCATACATATTAGTAACCCACTGAGCTTAATAGAAGACACTTATTTTAATATTACACACAGGCACTTCAATTTTATTGATACGAGGGGCACACTGAAATGATTGGGAATAGTATATTTCAAATTGAGTCACAATAAAAACTTTTTTAGAATTTGAATACTGGCCTCTTAGAATGTTAGTTACATTCAAACAGTTAAAAAAAATGTTTAAAAACAAAATTATGTTGGTTTAACGTTGACACGTTAACAGATATGGAGCTCACGCGTGAACATTTCCATGCCATAATTTATCACAATTTTCGTCGCGGCTTATCTCAAAATAAATGTCTCAGCGAACTTGTTTCGATTTATGATGTTGAAGCACCAAGTCAAACAACAATATAACTGCAGAGTTCCGACGCGGTCGTGTGTCGCTCAGCACTGTTTCTTCTGCAGGTCGACCAAGAACAGCGGTCACGCCTGAAAACATCGCAGCTGTACGAACTATTATATTAGATAACTGTCATGTGACATACGAGCAGATTCGGGCTGTTATCAGTATCGGAATGACTGCAATTCAGTCAATATCACATAATGAGCTGTGTGTAAGAAAGCTAGTTTCCCACTGGATTCCCCACAATTTGTCCGAAGAGCAAAAGACGGCTCGTGTAGATTGGTACCGGAATACTCTGCAACGCTTCAATGGAGGGAAGTCAAATGCCATTTGTAATATCGTCTCAGGTGACGAATCATGGATTTATTCATACGAACCTGAAAGAAAGCATCAGTCAACAGTTTGGGTCTTCGAAGACGAGGTCAAACTAACGAAAGTGGTTCGCTTCCGTAGCGTGTCAAAGAAAATGGTCGCTACGTTTGGCTCGAAAAAGGAGCACGTTGCTACAATTCCTTTACAGGAACGCTGAACGCCTACCAGTGAGTTGTAATCACAGTTTGTTTGCCAGAAATGATAGCTGAAATTCGAAAAAATAACCCGAAACGTCGCATCATCTTACATCACGATAATGCGAGCTCCCATACGATTCGGAAGATAAATGATTTTTTGAAGCAAGAAAACGTTGAGCTAATGAGCCATCCTCCGTACAATCCTGACCTGAGCCCAAACGATTTCTTTACATTCCCTAGAATGAAAGATTTATTACGTGGTCAACGGTTTGAAGACCTGTTTGAAGCTGTGGAAGGAAAGTACAAATCAGCCATTTTGTCAACATCAACTTCAGACTGGAACCACCTACTGTTTTAATGATTGGTTTGCACGAATGGAAAAGTGCATTAAGTTGAACGGAGAATACTTCGTAAAACAATCAAATACAATTTAGCTATACCGTGCATGTGGTTTTTCTTATTCCCGATCATTTCAGTGTGCCCCTCGTATGTATACATTATATTCAAATTGTGACTGGATCTTTTGTTTTGAATAATGTTGTTTTAATTAACATAATAGGATAATTCGACAATTTCGTATAATATATTCATTATATTATGTAATAAAAAAAAACTGCTGGTAAGTTTTCCTGTCACAGTTCTTTTAACAATGTTATTTGAATGGCTATTATCTTTTTTTCTCTCGAATTAAGAGCCTTGTGGAATATTTAGAGTAACGGTATGACTTTGGTCCCTTGGTTTGGGGGCAAAAGGCCTAGTGTGGGATGCTGTGTGCCACAACGATTTTGGCAACCTCTCATCTCTGGGGTACCTTGTTTAGAGCCGAGGTAGTATCAGAGGTGGCTGTACCTACTGAGCAAATGATGCAACTATGAGTCCTAGGGAGATGACTACAAATTTGTGCCATTTGGTTGTGGATATTGTTCCTAAAGGAACTGTATCTGAGACTTGTGGTCATCACTGGTGACAAGAGGGCTGTTTCTTTTCCCACTAAAAGGTTAAGTATAACCTTTTAATGATGAGACACTGCCTGCATTCTTGGCATTACACTTCAGGAATTAGGACTGTACTTATCATAATTTTGGTTTTTAGTTTCATATTTTTTTACAATTTTTATAAATATTGTACATTTAAATGTTATGTAACTAAATTTTGTATCAACCGCAATTAAAACCCGTGTCGGAAATTGTTTTAAAATTTGATATTTATTATAAAAACCGAGTTAATAATTGCAGTTTAAATGTTTAAATAAAATAAAGCCCACATTTATCATTTAATATTAAATTTTATTATAAATATTGTTAATAAATTTGAGCTACTACAAATTTTAGCGATGATCAATCATTGCTATTGTACAAAAAACCTTAAAATTTCAAATTAATTCTCTTTTAAAATGTACATGTTTATTGTACTTTCATATAAATTTTTATACAGAAAACTTACTGTGTAAAATGCTTTAATCATTTACCTTTAACATGCGCACTTTCGTTTTTTCATTTATGTAGGTTATTCTAACCTGACACAATCAGTAGCTATTTTGCCAATGTCAAGTAAAGTTATGAGTAATAAATCACCGTTACACAGTTAACTATGACCAGTAGTTACATGATCTGTAGTCTATTTCACCATAAAATATATATGGTCAGTGATGGTAAAATTATTAAAGTAATAATATTAAAGTTATTTCTACTAGGTATGCGTCATTCTTACAGAAGTGTATTTACACTGTAACCAACAGGTTATGTCAGATTGTGTTAAAAATTTCAATTACATCTTGTACTAGAGTTGGATATAAACTTTATTCACAATGCTTACAAATGCATTATTTCATTCTTTAGAATGGAAAAGGAGATGCATAATAATTTCACTAAAGTTGGATGAGAATAGATAATAATTATTCTTGTATTTTCTGTGATATGTTTTTAATTAAACTGCTGTAATCTGTATAGATTACCGAAAATAAGAAAACTGTTATGATATGACACGGAAGAACAAGAAAAAGCATGGGAGACAATATTGTTAAATATTTTAAGAGATTATAACGCATCTGGATTTTAAGGAAACATAATTAACATGGAACGAGACCGTGTGTTAGCATAAGAGAATTATCAAGTGACCAAAGATGAAATACCAGACTGGCGATTGGGGGCCACTGCAATTGCTGATACACCTGCTAAGTGTGACAAATATGGCAAACCTTGTTGCAACAGCAGAGAGTCATGCCCACAAGTTAATAATTACAGACTAATAAACAAAATGATGCAACACAATTTCCAACCAAAATAGCAAATGCTAGTCCCGCTGTGATAAATGAACAGAAAATCTACCTGATGTTAAATGGATATTCTGGCCCTTAGACACCTACGTCTATCCTCAATTAAACTCAAAATGTTAATGCGTCGTCGACCCTGAAGTCTAGATACAATGTTTCGCCAGCAGCAAAAAGGTCTAATATATAAAATAAGTAGGAATTAAATAGGCTTCTATAATTCCTGAAGTTCATTACGGGCGTATGATCGTAAATTAGCTTCTGAAGCGCTAGGATTAAGTAAGAACAAATTTCGGCTTTTAGAGCCCCAACTGGACATTGTTGTTTAAAAATAAAACCCGAGACTTTGCTGCAACCTTCATGAAATAATAATAAAAAATTCGAGGACGTGTGAAATTTGTAAACAAGCATTGTAACCCTGAGGGGATCTCAGGAAGGAGAGAGGGGTGAGCCCAGCAATATGATTATATAGTATAGTATTTTTTTGATCGAAGGTCAGACATGTGGTCTGTGATACGAAGGGCATCACCTATATACTAAGAATTGTGTTTTTACAGAAAAATCTTAATATTAGGATATAAAAACGAATTTTAAGACTTCTTTACTGATTTTTTTTCAAAAAGAAATCTACGACAATATATTTACAATTATCATTTCTTTCAGTATTTTTTTTTAAACAAAAAGAAAGAATCATTTGCAATTAATACAATTGAAGTGTGCAATATTATATTCAAAAATATTTCTTTAGTCTTGGGCGGATGATCTTTGCTCGGCATTAGAAAAAAGAAATAATTTGCCCAATGATTTTTTTTCTCTTTATGTGGTGCTCTTTATGTGTCTATATGATGCCACTTAAGTAGATAAAATTATAAAGTAAAACATCAAAATTCTATTTAAATCGTTAGAGCCGTTTCTGAGAACTCTATACTTTAGTCTTATTGGTTTTTAGATGGCTTCATTTAATTAAAGACTTGTGTAATGCTTGGCCAAAAATTTTCTATCAGATACTATAAATATACCTTAATTTCTTTTTAAGCTTTCTAAAAACAGTTCTTTTTAACATTTTTTTTGAAATGTAATTAATACTTAGGCGCTTAGAGGTCTCGCGTCGTACCTACCCAGCTATCGGTTATGAAATTTGAAATAAGGTTGCACAAAAATTCTGACTATAGTTTTTGAGCCTTAATGGGATATAAACGCCCACATGTTTTTCTTATACTACGTTCTACGCGAACCTTCAACATTTATTTCATAAGCATTACATAGATTGTTGGTTAGTTGGGCCAGGTGAGGGAAAATGCACGTATTGTCATCGACCCGAAATACTTGATTTTGCGTGTGTAATACTTAAATGTATTATGAGCCCTGTAAATTTGAATTGGGCTCATTACAAAATGTAACTTTTTGTTATCATAAACATTGTAACATAATTCCGTTGATCAATCGAATTACTTAAAAGGTTTCAAAGTATTTTTTCGCAAATACAATTTTGTTCCCTATTTATAAGAGGGTATGGATTAATTTCCTATGTATGTCTTACTTTTAAAGTGTGGAAGTATCTTTTCTGCCGACTTCCAAAAAGGAGACGGTATTCAATTCGACTGTGTTTTTTTTTATGTGTCATAACTATTTACTGGGTGAACAGATTTCGATGATTCTTTTTTTATATGAAAGCTGATACTTCTCGTGTGGTCCCATATGAATTTGATCAAGGTCAGACCAATAGTTTTTGAGTTATTCTTAATAACTTATATTGAAGTCGGCTGTACAAAATTTTTAATTATTGTAAACACGATTGTGCTTTTTATTTATATTCGAGAACTGATCAATTTTCTATGCAAGTATTTCCAATTCTGTTTATTTTTCAACTTCAACAGAAAGTACCTACTTGAAAGTATTATGAACCTTGTTTTTTTTTTGCATTGGTATTTTAAGCTATACGTACGCAAGTATGACTAATGTCTAGTTGATATCTACCGGGAAAATACCAGCCCAGACCTTGCTAAAATGTGACACTTTTTTTTAAATAGTAAAAGGCTATTTAAAATAAAATAATACATATTTTTTATGAGACGACTAAAGTGTAACCTATTTAGTAAAGAAAGAATTAAAATCGGCCGACAATTAATGATGATATCTCATTACATATAGGAAAAAAAAAACATTCTTACGAATTGAGAAACTGCTCTTTTTTAAAGTATCAAGTAATTAACACTACAAAGTTCATTTGCTTTGAATATACATACGTTATGTAACTTATTCATATTATACTAATAAGGTTTATAGAATATTTTGCAATGAACATAAAGGTTGTCATTACTGTCGGCCTTATTAAATAATGTAGTTTGTAATTATTAGTCTCAGGTCTAAACTAGAACCTGTTTTACGCAAGAAGTTTGCCGGAAATATGCGAACTAAAATGTACTAGTATGGAATTTGGCAGCAAATGTCAAACTTTGCGAAGACTAGCGCTGAGACTAAGGGACTTCTTTAGTTAGGAGGAATCTTCTTAAACTATAGTTTAAATCCAAAACTATCAATAAACCACGTTACGTAATAAGACGGTAGTGATTATTTCTTACTTCCAATCGAAACTGATTATAATGTATCTATTTAGAAGACATTATAGTTTTTACGTTTCAATTTGTGATTATCTACTAAAAGGGCTGAAAATAAACTTAATAAAAAAAACGAAAGCCTTTATTTTTATAATAACAAAGTGACGAACTAGCGAACAGCACACTTCTCTATCCCTAAGGTATTTGAAATTAATATCAATTACAAATAAAAATAAACTGGTATCTACTTAAATATATCATCCTAGACAGAAATAGCCCACCACCCACTATGCTGTAATACTACAATATTTATGCAAAGCGTGTAAATGACATCATCAGGTAGTCAGTGTTGCTCTTTTGTAGAGAGGCTTTACTGTATGTTTACATATTTATTGACTGACCTCTGATTTCTTCTTTGGAAAAAATATTTGAATTTTCTGTAGCTTTCAACTTATAATTAGTACTAATGGTGAATGGCATAACCTTGTGTTACATAGTTATTGTAACCTAGATGAATAAATCTGGATACTTATTATCAATTCTACTGTATGGATATTTCATCTCATAAAGTGTCTTAAAAGAAGATGTTTCTTTAAGTATGTTTGCCATTAGGAGGTATGCTGAGTGATATAGTCATTATTATTGATATATTTAGTTGATTTCTCAGGGCTTTTCGAGCAGGGATTCACTACATATATGCGGCTGACGAACCCCAGTACGGATACAGTGCTGTTTAAAATTAAAACAACTGCACCGAAGAAGTATTGCGTGCGCCCCAACTCAGGAGTTCTGGAGCCAAACTCTAAAGTTGATATTGCAAGTAAGTTTTCTCAATACATTAATAAAAAAAAAGATTTTAAATAAATATCAAATATCGTTTTCTTTTTTTCCAGTCACCCCTCAGCCTGTATATGTCGACCCAAATGAAAAACATAAACATAAGTTTATGGTGCAGAGTGTAGTTGCACCAGAAGGATGGGATGGGAAGACCAATATTGATCAAGTAGTAAGTTATGATAATTATATATTACTTATTTCAACTAATATTAAGTAGACTATTTTATACCACTTTTCATCTTTCTTTTCCAGTGGAAGGAGATCAGTCCTGACCAACTAATGGACTACAAACTAAAGTGTGTCTTCGAAACTCCACGGGTGTCCAATCTAAATGTAAGTTAATCTCGGATGCAATACTAAATGTAATCAAACATTTATAAACATGAAGTTAAAAAAAATATTTTTAATAACGACCTACGAACAATAATAGCCAATTAAATTGTTCCAGGACGCAGGAGATAATGCCGCGCAGAATGAAGTAACCAAGAAGCGAATTGTGGCTGCGGATGACGCCAAGCCCTCAACAAAGGTAACGCAATTTCCTTTATGGAATAAATTAATATTGGTGTTCCTGTGTGAAAGGTTCCCTACTGTGCAGTATATATTTAGTTGCATAAACAACAAAGCGGTTTGGAAAAGCAACCAAATAGTAAAAAATGCACTGTATGGGACTATAGCACAGTTAGAGTTTTTTATGTACTTGGTGTGAGCTTTTTCGAGTTTTATTTTGCCCATTATCTTCGGTCATTAATTAATATCATCCAACACAACATTAGTATACTATTCATTGTTACGTTCAGGCATGTAGCTGGGGGTTTCAGTAAACAGTTGTCTAGCCGTCGTATAAAGTATAAACGTAACGCCGCATTGCAATCGTTAAAAGTGTGTCAATCAATAATTGAAATGAGTGATACCAAATTGGAACGCATTTTGTTTAAATGTTAAATTTATTTTTGTAATCCTATTTGTATGATTTTATTTGAAAACTGTTAGCCGTTAATTATCGTAAAGCATTAAATATTTGTTTTATGACTATGGAGATAATACGTCTTGTTAGTTTCATTAAGTTGTAGTGTTTAATCTTTTTTGAGCTTCCCCTTCCCCCAAATATTTACGTTAGCTATGTGTCTGAGAATCATGTTTGTGCAATAACTCATTGTACTATTTGAAATACTGAAATAGTACCTATTTGTCGCTTTAACAAAGTAAGTGGTGATGAGTGGGTTGAAATCAGTCCAGGCTTGGCATTGGCATGTTGTGAAATTATCTTGCAGGAAGCAGTAGAAGGTCTCATCCAGAACGAAGGAAAGAGGAAGGATGATGACCACGCGGCCGGAACTTTAAGCGCGCAAACGGTATTTTTTTTCCTTTATTTAGTGTTGGCGATTCAGCGTGCGGCTGCCTTGAATTGGACTTTGTGCGATAGTTTTAATGACGTAAACACTTAGCCATTGCTTGATAATTATTACATCGTATTTTAAAAAATAATTGAGAATTTATTAACTATAGAAGATTAAATGGTGAAGAATTGGTGAAAGATATAGTTATGAAATTATTTTTATTGCTGTTGCGATTTTGCCTCGTGTAGTTTTCTAATATAAAATATTAATAACAGTTGTTAATGGACAATATTTCTTTTTAAAATATAAATTTATTAAAAATAACATTGCTTATTATTGCACTTATAGGTAGTGATTTATTGTGAGAAGTAAATCTTTGACACAGCACAATTAAATTTTTATTTAGCCTTTTTTATTTTTAATAGATCAAATTTTTTGAGGATTACTAAAATGTTTTTTTTTTCTAAGTTTGGATAGTGTGTGCAAAACAGATTTAAAGTTATATTGTTACGTTCTATACATGTGCCAGAGTTGAAACGTAGTTGATTACTTGCCTCTGTCTTGTGTGGAGTGTGTTTGATAAGCAGCCACGGATAAGAGTTTAGTTTACGAAAACACTGGCTAAAAATAATTAACCGGCGCCTGTGCCTACCACATTGCGTATAGACGATGCGCAGTAGGCAAATATACTTCTAGTGTGGGGTGGTTTAATGAAGGGTTGTACGGGTATATTGTGATTGCGCAAGAATTAAAGCTTTTATTAAGCAAAAATTATTATAACAATAAAATGTGGTTCATAGTCGACATGGGACGACTACTCGGTTTGGATTCGGTACTCGGCGGATTCGGCCTTTTTTAGGATTCGGCCGAGCACCGAGTATTAACGGCCGAGTACCGAGTACTCGGCCTTAATTAAATTCCAGAGAAAAATAAAGACAAAAAGCCAGTTTTTATCATTATTATTAAATTAGACACATTAAAACATCAGGAACACGAGAAGCAGCAGAAATATTTAGAACGTACATAAGAATCTATAACAGAAATTATTATTACTAATATTCAAAATTTAAGAGAGGAAGATTGTGATGCAAAAACACTAGTTTTTCGGCCTTTGGGTCTAGCTTGTAAGGGAAATAACCGCACGCTGCCCGCTACCGCGTTTTTTTTAAAGCCGAGTATTTGATAGAGTACTCGGCCCAATCTAGGCCGAATACTCGGCGAATCACTACTCGTTCCATGTCTAGTTCATAGTAGTAGTATTTGCGCAGTGTTGTCACACTTAGTTTGGCGTCAGTACTGTACCTTATGTTTTTGAAGATAGAGGCATTTTTATTTTTATTTGCATTTGTAACTGTGCACTTAATGTTTTGTAATACATTATTTAATAACAGATTCGCATATTTCATTATTAATATAATAATATAATCCGTTATTTCAGACATTGCCTTTCCCAAAGACCGACAACGTGGAAAGCGATTTGCAAAAGGCGACATCTGAGGTCATTCTTCTGAGAGAGGAAGAGAGCAAGTTAAGACATGAAAATCTACAACTTAAAGTAAGTTTAAATACTTACACATATATCTTTATTGAATAAAAATATCTTAAAAGCCAGTGCTTAACCACTATGCTACCAGATGCTTAGTTTTGATGCAGCTGTAGACGGCATAGCGCACTTAGTTTAACAAAAGCCTAATCACTCTTGTCTTGAAGAAACTTAAATTATAATTGGATGGAAAGAGATGCTAGCAAAGTATTGCACACCTTTGCTGTACGCGTTACCAATGACGAAACAAACCGTGTTATGGCGACAACTAAGTTGGTCGTGATACAAACGTGCAGTGTGAGTGGCGTGGTTCATATATATTTACATGAGCATATATTTCTAAGACAATTATCATATTTATCACATTATCAGTGCGATTGATAGACTAGCGAAAGTAAACTATTTTTGTTGGTCTGTTCGATGATACAAAGGCGTTTTATTGCTCACCAAGCCAATGAGAATATGATAGAGTAGTGAAGCCATACTGTGTTCTGCCATCTGTTTCATATCGCGTATTCGTTAATTAGTTTAGTTCAGTTAGTTTTACGACACATATGGAAAGCACTTCTTCATTTGCGCATAAGAGTAAATAAAGCTAATGCAATAAGAGCTAAACAGGGAAAACCGCCTTCTTTATAGAGAAGATCGGCATACCAGAAATCTGCACGCTTGACTTCTGCTCCTCGTCATTTGTCAGGGGTATTTTATGTCGTATACGAAATGATTATAACGCCATTTGTAAGAGACCATTAGATCTTTCTGGTATTTCCTATGGTCGCCTCTTACGACACTTTCCATACGAAATTGAATGAAGAATTGTTTGTCGTCGGTACCACGTGGTATATAGGTTAAAAAAATATATAAGTAGCCGTGCTTTGGACTTCATGAATGTGATAATATGACAAAGTGATAGTTATATCAGTACTTTCCAAATATTCGTGCCAGCGTATTTCGTCATTCTGTTTATAAAGATTGTTCTTTTTTTACACTTGATTGTTAGATGAACAAAACTATTCATCATCAAATATGAATTACAAAATTTTCTATGGCCTGGTAAAGTTAAAAGTATATAATATAATGTAGTATGATGCTTGCGATATGTGCGAATAATTTTTTGCTACAATTTGTTTTTGCTATCGTTATTCGACTGTTTACGGAATATCGATGATTTCCGATTCCATAATTTGATATAATAATAATGATGTTCAGATCAGTCTTTATGTACAATACTTTGAATTTTTTTTACATATCCCTTTATTATTTTACACTATTACTTTTATAGCTTAGCGAATTTTATAATATTTAATACATTTCCTGCATTTACGTATATAAATACTTTCCTTTATTAAATTAGAAAGGAGAAAATGGACTAAACATCATTATTATATTTAATTTTATTGATAATGTTGCTAGATGCGATGTAAATCTTATGTTTCTGCGCAGTTTTTATATTATTAACTTAAATAACCATTTATATTTTATAGTAATTTTATCAAGGCTTTAATATTTATAAAAAAAATATCTCGTTTCCTTTCCAAATTTTCAGTAATTAATAAACATTAAAATTATACTAAAGGGCTAAGTGGCGCGCCTTGGGAGAGACGTATGTCAAGCGCTGGACTGCCGCAGGCAACATTTAAAAATGTTTGAAAAAATCATATTAATCAAATCTGTATTATAATTGTCTAATTGTCACCTGAAACATTTTAAAAATACATAGGTATATTTTCTTCGATAATAAATGTATATTTGAAAACCCCAATAGTAATTCCAAAGCACTATTGTTTGGCCTACTTTATTAAACGCCCCTGTCTGTCTATTTATTAGTGGACACTCGAGAATCCCTGACCTGATTTTCAAGTACTTTTCTTTGATGAACTAGTTGTTATTTGAACAGGATTTTATTTAAAAGATTGTGGTCGTTGTTATTTAAATTATTTCCTTATATATTTGACTTTCGAACGCTAATTTTTTTTAACCAACTTTGTACGGAAAAGAGTATACTTCTATCCATTTTTCTATCCAAGTGTATGATTGAAGTGATTTTCGTAAGCTTTAAAAATAGTTCTATAAACTATAAAATCTATACCAACGTTTATCCTTACGCATAAAATTGCAAACACAATGACACTCTCTCATTAAATCATCAATTACTTTATAGATAACATAAGTAATAATTTCTCATTAATTACATTTTGTGAGCAGGCAGTAGGTAATTTGTGTGTACTTGATAATTATAATTTTATGTTGTAGACCTATATGTAATCTGACTTGCAGTATACGGCTAGGACGGAAAGTATTGACAATAATAATTTCCGTTTTGTTTCAGGATTCATGTTTTCTTTATTATATGGATATTACAAACAAAAGTTAAATACAAATCTTTTGGACGTTTGAGTTGTTCTCCATGTTTCTAACATGTATCCTTCCTACCCTCCAGTCGAGTTATTATTTACAACCGTTTCATATAGATAAAGACGATGCAAATAAATTTATAGACCGCCAACATGCACTGTAGCAGCGTTGCGGTATAATTGTTCCATAATCTTCTCAGATATAAGAGGGAGCGTATGCCCAGCTGTGGGATGTGTATAGGCTGTAACTTTATGCATTTCGGGCACTGCTTTAAAACATACCGTGGATGTAGCCGATAAAGAAATCAACATCACCCATATTATCATAAGTATTTATTTTGAGCCGTAAAGTAAGATTACTTTATTTTATTTTATGTTATTATGAAAGCAATGCTGTCAATTTGGCTTACTTATAGTTATAGTTTATCCTGCTAGCAATTTTCATAATTAAGTAAGTTACCTCATATTTTCAGTCCTTTTTTATTTTATTTTTGTCTATTTTATGTTTGATGTATTTTTTATTTTTCCATTTTCTACTAATACTGCGGGATTATTTGTTCCTGTAGAATATTAATATAAATTCATTTTATACAACGTAATAATAACATAAAAATTGCCTTCCTTACTCATAACCATTAAGTAATGATTAAAGTTGCTCTCTCTCTCTATATATATATATATATATATCTGTCTCTCTCTCTCTCTCTTTTCACTAATTGAAGAAAGAAAACGATAGTAAGACCGTGGTTGTTTAAAGTAAAAATATTACGAAGCATCACACCATACACCACAGCTGGGTGAATCCGGCTCGAAGGACCAAAAATATGTACCGTTCGTACACGTGGGATGATAAATGCAACATATTTCTGGATAAAATTAATAATTGCTATGCTAATTAATGATATGACAATATGATCATGATGGCTATGAGTACACGTTTGCAGTGCGCGATGCTAAAATCGAACTAGAAACTTTAAAACTATTAAATTTATGCTATGGCTAAAGTTGATGATTGTGCTATGTACGGTTTTTTTTTTTTTTTTTTTTAGGAGAGGGGGCAAACGAGCATGCGGCTCACCTGATGGTAAGTGACTACCGCCGCCCATGAACAACCGCAACACCAGGGGAATTGCAGATGCGTTGCCGGCCTTTTAAAAACGAGTAGGCTCTTTTCTTGAAGGCCCCTAAGTCATATCGGTCCGGAAAAATCGCTGATGGTAATCGATTCCACAAGGAAGTCGTGCGAGGAAGAAAACATCTTCTAAATCGCACAGTGGTGGACCGCCAATCATCCAGATGGTGTGGATGGTATCGGGAGTTCTGCCGCGATGTGCGTTCATGAAATTTGGCGGCTGGGATTAATCCGAACAATTCCTCAGAGCACTCCCCATGGTAGATGCGAAAGAAAATGCAAAGAGATGCAACATCTCTTCGCAGTGCCAATGAATCGAGCCGATCGGAAAGGGCTCGGACGTCGACGATTCGAGCCGCTCTGCGCTGGATGCGGTCAAGTGGAAGGAGCTGGCACTGGGGAGCCCCTGCCCAGAGATGGGAACAGTATTCCATGTGAGGCCGAACCTGCGCCTTGTAAAGTTGCAGGCGGTGTGCCGGCATGAAATACTGTCCCGCTCTGCTGAGCACGCCAAGCTTTTTAGAGGCCAATTTGGCCTTCTCTTCCAAGTGACCACGAAACTGCACGTCACTCGATATGTCGACTCCGAGGATACCGATACTGGCTGAGGCAAGAAGGGGAGTGCCTTGAAACTGAGGAGATACGACAAAGGGGTTCTTTTTAGCGGTAAACGCGCAAACTTGTGTCTTCTGAGGATTAAACTGGACTAGATTTAGTCGCCCCCAATCCGAGACTTTGTCCAGCAAAGACTCGACTTCAGACACAAGTTTGTTCCGGTACTCGGCGACGTTTTCCCGAGAAATATTGGCCCGGCCGGTGTATAGAGCATCACCAGTGCTGTCATCCGCATAGCAATGAATGTTACCAGTTAGCAACATATCATTGATATGCAGAAGAAACAGCGTTGGTGATAGCACACAGCCTTGTGGAACACCAGCGTTAATAGGCTTGTAGTCAGAACATGCACCGTCTACGACGACCTTGATGCTCCGATCTGCAAGGAAGCTGGTGATCCAATTGCACAATTTCTCGGGAAGCCCATAGGAAGGGAGCTTCGAAAGAAGCGCTTTGTGCCAAACCCGATCGAAGGCCTTCGCAATGTCCAGACTAACGGCCAACGCCTCCCCCTTGGACTCTACTGCCTCCGCCCATCTATGGGTCAGGTAGACTAGAAGATCACCAGCTGATCGACCCCGACGAAAACCGTATTGGCGGTCACTGATCAGCTGGTGATCCTCAAGGTACCGGATGAGCTGGCAGTTAATAATGGATTCCATTATTTTGGAGAACAAGGAGGTGATCGCGATAGGCCTATAGTTGGACGGGTCTGAGCGGTCGCCTTTTTTAGGGATCGGGTGGACAAAAGCTGTCTTCCATGAGTTCGGGACAACGCCATGGGAGTAGGAGTACCGGAAAAGACGCGTTAGAACCGGTGCCAACTCCGGAGCACACGTCCTCAGCACAATTGGGGGGATTCCGTCAGGCCCACTCGACTTGTGGATGTCAAGGGAGAGGAGTGCTCTGCGAACCGAGCGCTGTGAGAATAGCACATCCGGCATAGAGCACTCACACCGCGGGATGGTCGGCGGTGTGTTCCCCCCGTCATCAACAGTCGAGTTGGACGCAAAAAGGGAGCCTAAAAGGTCGGCCTTCTCTTTTGCGTCGTGGGCCAGTGAGTCGTCCTCCCTGTGCAGAGATGGTAGTGATGGCTTACAGAAATTCCCTTGGACAGCCTTGGCGAGAGACCAGAATGCACGGGTTCCCGAAGGAAGGCGAACTAGTTTCTCGCCAATTCTGCCTATGTGCTCTGACTTTGCCTTGGCAATAACTCTTTTGAAGGACCTGGAGGCGAAGTTATACTTCTTTTTAAGTGTGCTGGTGTTTACATCCCGAGTCACCGAAGCCGCAGCCTAGGCTTGATAACCCTCCTGCTTTCTGCGCAATGCAGTCTTACAGGAGCGACCAAACCAAGGCTGAGACCTGCCTCCGATGGGTACCACAGATGATGGAATAAATAGTTCCATTCCCTGTAGCACCACATCAGTGACAGAGTCAGCAACAGCGCTGGGATCATCCGGCGAGAAGCAAACCCGCCCCCATGGGTAGGATGCAAAGAAAGACCGCATTCCGTCCCAATCCGCCGACCTGTAATGCCAAACACGGCGGCAACCTGCAGAACGCAACCGCGAAGGGAGCGTGAGTGGCACCATACTCCGGATCAGACAATGGTCCGAAGAGCCGAGAGGGGCATCGACGGAAACCTGATATCCGTCCGGATGAGAGGTCAGCAGAAGGTCCAACAGGGAAGGTGTATGATCCTCCACATCTGGAATCCGCGTAGGCGAAGTAACCAGTTGTGTCAGACCATATGCCAAAGCAAAGTCATAAACAGATCTCCCCGCATGATCGGTTAAACGTGAACCGAGCCATTCGGCATGGTGGGCGTTAAAATCGCCAAGGATCACGATCTCTGCGGATGGGACCTGTTGTAGCAAGGAATCTGTAGCCATTTGGATGTGGTCGATGAGTCGGTCTGTTTCGGCATTACCGCTATGGGACCTATAGAGGCACCCGTAGACGCGCGGATGGTCGTCGCTGTCTACGCGTAGCCAAAGGATGGACAGGTCCGAACCTTCAAGACTGCCGAGGCGTCGAGAACAGATGTCCTCTCTGACATACACGCAAACTCCAGCCCGAGGCACAAAGGAGTGCTCCAATTTGTACCCCGGGCAGGAGAGATACGAAATATCAGCCGGAGAGGAAACCTGCGTCTCGGTCAGAAAGAGCAAGGCCGGCTTCGCCGTCTCGAGATGGTAGTGGACGGCGTTTAGGTTAGAGTGAAGTCCCCTGATGTTGCAGAAATTCACGGATAGCGTGGCAGGGGTCGCCTTGGTATTGTTGCTCAGTTTGCCCCAAGCAGTTTTGTTTTTGAGCGGAATTTTGCCCCCCCCAGAATACGCGGGGCAGCCTGAGCACCCATGCTCAGGATTGGAATAACATGGTCGTGGATGCTCAGCGAGGGATTCTCCAGGGGTACTGGTACCCTCCTGGGGTAGTCTACTTTGTAATTCCGCTACCATGTTGATGGGGGGGGGGGGGGGGGGGGAATTGGGCCTGAAAAGAATTGGTTGCACCATATAGGCTTCTTACTGGGAAAGGTGGAGAGTATTTGTTATATGTGTATGCAGTAAAAGACTATTTCCTTCTCTGATGCCGCTTCCATCACAAACCAAAGTATTTTCACCATCATCCATCGTTGCAGCCCATCAAAAGTAAACTGCTGAACGTAGGTCTGTCTTTTAAATTTTCACATATGTTTGTCATAGTTTGCCTGCGCTTGGCACGCGAGTTGGCATCCGCAGTATCACTATTTACGTTACTGAGTTGCAATCAGGGTGTTGCTGCTGTCCATCTCCTGTTTCAGTTTCCGTCTGCCGCCTCTTACGACAACTACGGGACGATACGGGGTGGACGATTATCTTATGGCGCCACTAGATGGCACTGGGTTCAGCTCGCCCGCCACTGGTGCTGCTCGTATGATGCTTGGGTATTTCACGGCTGGAAAAAACCGCCATCTGTCGGGTACCAACAGAATTTCCGATCGTTTTACTAAGTCATCTCTTACGACATCCACCGAAAGAAATGATGGAATATCTATTTACTAGCATTAACTGCTTTGCGTTTGTAAATGATGCAAAATTATATTATACTCGCTCGCTGTTTCTTTATATATATATATATATATATATATATATATATATATATATATATATATATATATATATATATATATATATATATATATTCCCAAAGCCAAATTTTTGTAATTCAATATAATTAGAATTGATGCTATTTATTGTTCAACTGATTGTTCTAAGAATGAATTCTGGCAAAGTTGGCAAACAATATAATTTTGATTGCAGGAGGAGTTGTTACGTTTGCATCAGTCGATGGGCGAAGGGCGCACCGCTCGTCGTCATTCTTACGGGCCCGAGAAAAACGCGCAGGCCGCGATGATGCCGTGGATCGCTATAGCCGTTGGCATGGCATTCCTTGGCATCATTATTGGCAAGTTTCTCATGTGAACGCCCCCAACAGCCCCGCGGCGACCCGACGCAAATCTCACCAAATGCTGTACAATCACCCCCAAAGCAACCCTCTCGCGCAAGGCAGCTTCAATTCATTTAACCATAAAAGCTTTTGTAGCGCCGCACTCGTGTTCTACCCAAAATTAAGGACTGTGATCACAATCGAATGTGAATTTACGTGAGCACAGACCGCTATTTTTGTAGTTACTTTTTACGGTCGTTGTATCAATCAAGCGGATTCTTAGCCTCATTGCGTGTATAATATATATGTTACTTGTTCGCAACTTAGCGTGTCTTGTTATTTATTAAAATTGTATTAACCGATGTAGTGTTAATATTGATATACTTGATTTGTTGGTGAAAAATCTACTTAATAACAATCAATATTAGCTGTTTGTAATTGTATGGAACGGATTAGCTCAGCTACCAATTATTATACCATTTAGAGATCGTATTTGATTAAAATATTTTGTTTGTTACCAATTTTGTGTCTTGATATAGACGACGTTTCTTTTTATTAAATTCTGAATTTGTTTGCCCATGGTTTAGCTGGTAAATTTTTTAGGGAATAGCAAATTTATAATACGAGAAACATCTTTGAGTATATATGATGTCTTTAGTCGTGGGACATATCTTTCGAGTTTGTCCATAAATATTATAATATAGTTTTCTTCCTTATTGGATATTTCATCTTGGAGTATAAAGGAGTCGTTTAAGAGGATGAACCAAGACACTTCTGCGATGTAATAAATATATTCAATTTGTTTTAGCTTAAGTTTACCGCAAGGACATTGCTTAAACATTGTAATTAGATCATTAGCAAGCACACTTCCCGCATACTTTAGCACGAGTTAAGATTCGACGCGATTAAATATCGCTTCTAACAACAAAAGTATTTTTTTTAATTTCATTCAATTTGTAATAGAATTTAGCGGCTGTTGGCCAACTAAGTTACATCCATAAAAATTTGCTTGGTGAATGTATCACATTACGATAATAAATGTTACTAGATAAAAATGTACACTAATTTAACACTTGTAATTATGTGTTGTGTTTTATGAGGTGAATATACACACAATACAGTTTGAAAGTAAACATAATAATTAATAATAAGGAATCGCATAAAGGACGCAGAACGAAAAAGCCGCCAGATATAATTATGCGAATTAACATTTTCATAATTAAACTACTTTAGATAGTTAATTAACTTATCATATGAATGGTTTGATCTCCGTAATCTAGATTTGATTATAGTTAAAGGAAAAATTATAAATTAGTGGGTTGGTTATTATGAATAGTATTGTAATACGGAATATATTATGACGGCGTGAATAATACATTCTTCAAATTATTCATAATAATCTTGTAAAGGTAAGAAGAAACTGCTCCAAATGATTACATGTTTGACTCGATATAAATATATTATTTGATTCTTTTATGATTTGTTTTAATAATGGCACGCACGATTTAAGTGTTTATGAAATATATCGATCCGCTCCTTGACGTTTGAACTTTTTTAAATTTCTTAGTATTTCCAGTCTTCGTTTTTTTTTCTCCGTATCGTACATATCGTACATCATTGGCCTTGCTTGTCTAGTTAACGCTTTATATTATTTTTTATTTACCTGCAAGTCACAAACAAATAATACGCGTCATAATACAACGAAGTATTTTTGTGCACACGATCCGATGTTATGGAGATAAGTGTTTAAAAGTTAGTTGGAAATTTGTTATGCCGTCTTCCATAATATTCATAGAATCTTGCCCATAACGCAATAATTAATGGTATATTAGCTTGAAATAGCTTTAGAATGTAAACTAACAAATTTATTCTATCAGTAATGTTAAATGGTAATGTTCTTGCAATTTTTGCTATTCTCATGCCCAAATACTCAAATGCTGCTCAATTTTAAGATTACATTTAGTCTTGTCCTGTCGCTCTATCACTTTAAGTTAAAGCGACTATGACATCACTAGACTTAACATCTTAAAATTGAGTTGCGTTTGATTATTTGGCCATTAGTAAATAAAAACATAGGACTTAATTAACTAAGCAATATAATAATATTTACTTTTTTGCGTTATTATTGTATTTTACACATTTGGTACAAATTAATAATTCTTTTTACGAATCTTATTAGTGTACTGGAGTGATTTTATGTAATTATATATAAAATGTGTGGTTTGGGGTGAACTTTCACATTGTATCTAAATAGCGAAGGAAAACACCCCACTTCACATCTTAAACACCAAGAATTTGCACAATGGAAAAATATACGTGTCGAATTTTAGTCGGTAGTTTAAAGTGTAATTATTTTAGGCTTTGCAATATGACGCTAATGACCTATTTCAAAATCTCGTGTCGAATTACTCAAATGTCACTAGGTTGTTAGTTAATAATCCTTGCCATCTAGCTCTAAAACATCTGACAAATATGCGGGAAAGTGTATTATCCGCTAATGACTATCTTATTATAACGCATGGTATACAACGAAATGTTACACTCATAATGTGACGATCGAAAATTCAAAATTATGTGAGATACATTACAGATATATTAATTAATCACTTAATATTTACTTCTAATCTGTTATAGATTTTTTAATACTAGCCCAATCGCAACCTTCCACTCCGTATAGATTTAGTATATAAATTGGTACGTTAATATTATATGATAGCGATTCTCTTTTTACAAAAATAAAATACCTCTCACTTGTATACAAAATTATTTTTGCTTTATGTTTCTATGTAGGTTTTTAAAAATCGTAAAAAGACGTATGTGATGATATTCGGTGTGAAGAAGCTATTTTGTACGTACTATTTGCGTTTTAATTAGTTGAGGAAAAATTCAGTGTGTTGATGTAATCCCGTCTGAATATTTCGTTCATGACAATTATATGATAAGCGGCATTGCTTCGTGACTAGCACATAATAACTGAATGCGCATAATTAATACATAATAATGATTGCCTTGACAGGAAAAATATAAGTAGTATTATTATTATTGTATACAGCTAATATACAGTGGGGTGTGATGAACAGCTGTGAGAACATTCGCTTTTACAAAATAGGGTTCGAGATTAACGCGGCTGGTCTGAAATTTAGTTGAGCTTACAACTTTACTACATTTTTAAGATTGCGCAATTGTTTTATGACCACTGTGAAACTGATGGGAAGGACATACTATATTGTATTCATGAGGACTATGACTATAATGACCAACGTGTCATTATTGTCGATGTAAGCGCATGCTAATAATTTACTTATTTGTGTTTCCGGGAGATGAACAGAGGCTCCACGAGTAAACTGTAATAATTCTATTAGACGTTTAATCCCGTCATGACTTAGAGCACTAATAGATTTTGTGTCAGTATATTTAGGGTGAACTTTGCGGACTTACTTCCTGCATTTTAAAATTTTCTTTGTAACTTTGACGAATACATAATGTATTATGCTAACGCCGATAGACTGAACTTTTAAACTGACATAACGATACTGTCAGTTCGAATACATCTTGTCGTAACAAATGTGTTGGTATAACGCTGTATTTATGTTCTGGTTGCTAGAGCTTGGATATAACGCCAATTGTTTGCACAGAGCCTGTCGCTCGCTGCCGTCCAAAGACTAGCTGAGTGAGCCAGAGACAAAATATTATATAGCGCCATATCAAAAGCTTGGCGCGGGTACGTGGCCCCGGGGGAAACAGATGTGAAACCATTTATTTTTGCCATACATTGAACGTTTCGATCTTTTGGTGTTCCTTAAAGATTTGTTTCCGGTAGTTAATTATTTCTTATTGGGTTCGTCATAAGCAGAACGCACGTTACTGTAAAAGGCTTAAATATATATTAAATTGTTGATTTTCTAGTAACTTCACCACTATGAACTTTTTATGGTTAGTAAAATTGTCAATGCTGTTACTAACTTTGTATTTAAATGTAATTTTTAAAATAAATCTATAACTGAATGTGATGTATCTTGTCAACCAAACTTTGGGAATGTAGCAGCAACGGGACATGTCTTATTGATTATATTTGTGTTATTATTATATGAATATAATTATAGCCCATATTTGGCTTTTGGTCATGACATGTTATTGAATGATGATACCTACGTATAAGGCCATTTCTGCATCAATTTGTAGTTTTATTTTGTAACAATGAAACATTTAAATTAAAAAAAATTCTGTATGGTATTGTTGTTATATTAAACTATTACGCTATATTGTATCGTTTTCTGAAATAAAAGACTTAATTTATGAATTTATTCTGAAGACTTTGCTAGAATGTAGTGATAACCTTAAAACTATTTATTTTGTAGTCAGTCAGCATTAATTCCCATCAATATTGAATCTTACATTAATATCCAATACAGTAATACATATAACAAAATAAAAAGCCAGCCAGTATCTCCATATGTTAATTACAGTGGCTGTTCAAATTATTATACTCAAACCATGAAATAAGATTTTTTTAAGTTTAAATTTCTTTAAGTAATAAATTTAATCTGTTTACTGGTATTATTTTTTCACTAGAGCTTATAAAACTATTTCTGAAAATAATTAAACATGTTTTTGGTGTAAAAAGTTAATTTAATTCAAGTTTTCTAAAAATTTATATTTTGGAAACTCACCCTTTTGTGCAATATCTTATTGAAGTCGACGAGGCATGCTGTCTATGCAATTTTTTGATATTGTTTTTAATTCTGGGGTGTTAAACCAAGCTTTGATTATCTTCTCAATCAGTTCTTGTTTATTAATTATGACTTTTTCTTTAGCTATTTCCTTTTTTAATGCAGCCCACACATTTTCTACGGGGTTTAGATCTGGAGAGTTAACAGGCCATTCCAACACCTTTATCTGATGGTCATTTAGGAATTTGTCACTTTTTTTGCTTTATGACATGGGGCTGAGTCATGCATAAACAGGAAATCCTTATTAGGAAACCATTCTGATGTCTGTGGGACCAGTTTTTCTGACAGGACTTTTAATGTACTTA